CCTACCTAGTTATATATCTTAGTATTCAAAAGAAAAAAAAGTAACCCCATTAAAGTGGCAGAAATATTCAAACTGTTGTGTAGTGTGGTATTAAATGGTATAAATACAGTTCTGAAGTATATTTGGTGCAAGCAGGAGACTCTATATTATTAAAATAGATAACGTACACTATGAAAACCAGTTTGGTGTACTAGTTAAGGGCAATAGTCTAGAAACTAGGAGTTCTAGTCTGTCTTAGGCCCAAAACCAGCCTGGTGAATTTGGTCTCTCTCAGCCCTAGGAAGAAGGCAGTGACAAGCCACTTCTGAAAAATGTTGCCAAGAAAACTGACTTGTCCAGGCAGTCGCCAGGAGTCAACACTGACTTGAAGACAAAACAAACACTGAAAATTAAGTCAGTCCTACTTATACCTCTCTTTATGTCGTCTGCAACTAGAGCAACTATATACAATTGTTATGTACTATTTACTCCAAGATTTGATTTTTGTTCACAGCACTTAAGATACAACTCACCAGTATGTAATAGTTGTGTTTAAAAATTAAAATGTTTCACTATTCCAAGTCTGATAAATAGGAGTTCTGAGGTCATTGCAATTTATTTAAATCTGCCAAAATTATCAGTGATCTGGGGTTCAGGCATATCAATAAATATATTTTACTGGAAACACAACTGAACTTACTTTTAAAAGAAAATTTTGTGCTGTATTATAGTCAAATGACTTGGAAATATTTGTGTATAAAGAGAAGGACCAACAGTGAAAGGCAGCAGGGCCTGGTAAAGCTAATGTAGGTAAGAAGACATAATTGATAGCAGTGACCATTCAGAAGATGAGTAAACCCTTTGTTCAAATCACAACAAATCGGGTAGAAAGCTAGCACATTGGGATATCTTTAAAAATATTTCATTTTTTAAAGTAAAATCTAGAGTTGATCTCATCTTACTTCCCCATAAGTATTCTTAGAGGAAAAAATATGGGAGGCGGTAAAAGTGAAGTCTCCTTTAAGCCAACGTTTAAGATACCTTGGAATTTCATGGACAAGCTATGTTGCTTTCTAAGCAACAATACATAAATGAGTTGCCATTATCTTCTGCCAGGACTTACTTTCAATTTTCTAATCTAATCTGCAGCTCTGGGATTTTCTGAATCTCCTGTTCAAATGCTAACCAGTTCTGTTTGCTCAGCTTTTTTTTTTTTTAAATTGGCCAAAATTGACTAAGTGTTGCTATATAGCCAGGGGTGAATAGGTGTAGCCTAAAGCAAATGGGAAGGCAGGAATTCACCATTTTTAGTGTTTTCTAATGGGCCAGAGCCACCATGACAGCTATTTGGAGAGAATATCCATGACATACTTTCGACACGCCAAACATACACAGCAGATGAATTGGACTTCATGATCTTTTGGTATCCAATTTATGAACTCCCAGAAACTGTAAGGTGCAGGTTGTTACTTCACCTATGATCTGTAATTTTTTTCCACAAGAATTCAAATGTAAAGTTACAGCATTAGTGAGATTTTAAGTTTTTAACAAATCTTTGTTAAATATTTTTTACTGGAAATTAATGTAGATACTATCAAGTTTACCCCAGTGCAAATTTACCAATTTTTCCTTTTCACTCTGCTAGAACATACAATAAATACATCCTTGACTCCAGCAGACTGCATCACAATGGAATAAAACTAGGCATTTAAATATAAGCAAAATCTTATGAAAAAAACAGTCTACATGTTTCAAGAATTAGACAAATTAGTAAAAAAAGATGGTCTCATGAAAAAATTGTTCCAAAATTAACTCTGCTACAGAAGAAACCTCATTATGGCAAAAATACACATTAACAATACTATTAAAATTTTCAGCAAGACATGCAAGGCACTCTAACACCTTCAAATATTGTTAAGTTCACAACTGACCTGTTTTCAGGCAATGGACTTGCCCCAACTCACCACCCCTCAATCCTATACACTGATTCTGTGTGAACACTCAAATAGCGTATCTGCAAGCAATGTATATGAGAAACACTTCAATCTGTTCACCGATTTGCTACAAAGAGCAAATCTTAAGGATTGTCAACTTACAAAAAATGGCAAAGACAAGAACATACTCCAATATTTTTAAATATGATTTCGATAGGAGTGTTAAGCACATGCTTAACTTGCCATTGAAAACAACAGAATTTTAAAATGTTTGGATGTATTATGCTGAAGATTTGCAGATCTGTTAATCTATATACAGTACGGTAGTTTTTAACACATTTCTATTTATCTGTTTGGTTCAGTAGGTTATATATAGCTCTAGTTTCCACATAGACAGCTTATGTTTGTTAATACAAAAGTAATTCTATAGATAAATTCATTTTCTCAAGGCATAAACTCTAGCATCCAAATTTTGTTTTCTTTCAACAAAAGTCATGACAATGATTTGAGAAACAGGTATTCAGAATTTGTAATAAAGCAAATGTTTACATTAAGCACAATACAGCAATTTATTTAGATGTTTAAATGAATACAAAGGGGAAATAAAGATCACAAAATTATCCATACTACAACAATGTGTCATATATTAGATGGTATAAATGAATATAACACCATGAGGTGTTAACTAAAGATAAAACTAAATATCCAAAAAATGCAGCACTCATTTCCGTATGCTGCTTTAACACAGTACACTTTTATACAGATCTAAAAGGTGTCAAAATTAGTAGCTGCAAACTTGTTTCTTGCATGTGATTTTTTTTTAGCTTAAAAGATTTCAGAAAATGTCTCTGAAATACATAGTCATCAGTTGTAATGTCAAGGATATTCAAGAACAAGAAAATTCTATAATACAATAAGAGTCCAGATATATTTTATGTTGCTGGCCTCTTTGAGATTGTACAAGGTTATGTGCAAAAACTAAGTCTGTCAAAAGTCATACTATAGCAGTTTCAAGCTTTTTTGCTAGGTAAACTAGATACAGCATTTATTACACAGCAGGGCAACACTAAAAAAAAAAAGGGAAAGAACCAAATCTATGATGGATACACAAGAACAATAGCATAAGCATCACTTGAGTAGGTCTAAAAGACTGTACAAATATACATTTCAACTATTCAGAATGATACATGAAAAAACAATTTTCCCAGAGTCTACTATACACATTGAACTGGTAGCTCTTATGTTGGCCCTATAACTACCATGTGGAAAAGGTAATGTTTAAAAAGACATACAGCTGAACATATACAGTGAAATAAATGTTGAAAATGCCGATAAAATAAACCTTTTCTTCAGTGAACAACTGGGAGCCACCAGCATATCAGTTTTCACATTAAGTTACTGTGCTCATCACAGCACATACTCTCAAGTGAGATCTGCCAACAGCATACTTTGAAATAAGTACTAGAAATCGTGGCTTCACAGCCACTAGCCAGATGACCTTGCACTCAAAAGGCAGTACCAGTTACAATGAACTTTAGCATTCATTCTAAAATGAAAGTATTTAGACAGTTGTCAAGTGGAAGATACTGAGGCCACGGAGCTGAACAACTTTTATGCTTGCTGGCTACTCAGCTCTACCCCTGTTAGGCTGCTATGCATTGATTCTGTAACCCCATCAGTCACACTGTCAAACTGGTCTCCATCCTCACTGTCAATTGTGCTATTTTGCCACTCCATCTGTTGATTTGACAAGTTCTCGTCAATTTCTGTTGCATTTTTCCACTGTGACTGGTCCTTGGACCAAAACTCACCCACTTTTCCATAGGAACTATTCTTCCATTTTGAATGGTCTTCATCACTCTCAGAAACAACACATTTAGTTTCTGCACCTGGTTTACTATTAGCATCTTCACTTTGGGATGATTCATCAGTCCAAGTTTCTGGCTTCACTTCAGATGTATTATCTTCAAAGTCAGATGCCTGCTGAGAACCAGGTCCACTTTCAGAGGGTGATGCTGCATCTTTCCATTCAATAGCATCATCTTGATCTTCTTGGTCACCTTCACTGTCTGAGCCATTAGCTGCCTGCTTTCTTGGTTCTGCTGCAGAGCAACTCTCCTGGGTTTTTGAATCTCTCCCCTTCTCTTTTTGGTCTGTTTTTTCTGGAGTCTCCAACATGGCTTCCAAAGGTGTCTCCTTAGATATGTTTTCATCTGTGTTCTCATTTATACTATTTATAGATGTTTTATGATCAGAAACAGCTTCTACAAAAGGACTATTGCTTTCATTGAATTCCTCTTCTATATTTTCGTAACTGTCTGAGGAACTTTCATTATCTTTATCTAAGTTTATTTTTTTATCAACTGTTTTACTAGCATTGACTCTAGAATTCTCTTCATCATGGTTTTCAAACAGCCACTCAGCATCAAAATCCATTTCATGTTTCACCTTATTTAATTCTTTCATGTTGAATCCTAGCAAAACACCTATTTTATACTTTTCACAATCTCTAACACATTTCTTCCTTTTGTTACTAAAGTGTGAAGCAATATCAGATTTCCATAGCCAAAGACTGGCTGCTAACTTTTCAATCTCTCTTCGACTGGGATATGGTTGTTTATTGAAATACTTGGTGAGAAATGTTTTTCGGGCTTCATAAGAATCATCTTCATGACCTTTGGGATCTAAAGCCAGTACTACAGGTTCTTCAGGCTTTTCCTCAAAAACTGAGGGAGAATCATCATCATCTATTTTTCTTTTCTTCAAAAGAGAAAATTCCATGTGTTCATAAGTACGTTTCACAGGTCCTGTACCTGGAGACTGATTTAGCCGAGAGGGAACACTAGATTTGTCTTGACCATTTTGTGTCTTCCCCACACCCCTACAATGGACAAGGTGCAGAGTTATAGTTGAGGCAGTCATGTTAC